ACACTGCAACAGAGGAGCTGGAGAAAACAGAATTTTATACCACATGACAGTCATTGATAAATAGTGCACCTTGCAGACATATAAACATTGTAATGGGGAAAATGATTGCACAGGTGAAAGAAGACAACACGGACAAAAAGCTTTTTGTCATTGGAAAACATGGTATTTGCAACTTTAATGAAAAGGGGATATTTCTTTTAATGGATTTTTGCGCTTTCAATGGTCTAGTTAATAGGAAGTGTACTGTACTATCAATGAGATAGACAAATTAAAACAACATGCATTTTCCCAGATGGAAAGACAGAAAGTGAAATGGACCATATCACTATCATGCGTTAGTGGAGAAGAACTAAGCAACATGTACGAGGGGTTATCAAGAAGTTCGTGGACCGAGGCTATAAATTTAGTATTATATAGTCTGTGCTTTCAAAATTTTTGAGGAACATAAAAAAAACCCCCAAAAATAGAAAAGTGTTGAATATAGCTCAATATCTTCATTATTTGTCAAATTATTATAAAATAAAAACGACATTATTTGATTGCCTGTCGCCGTCTCCATTTAGTTTCAAGACGTCCGACAATGATATTGTTTTTGAATACTTGCTTCTTCTATCTCATACACTTACTTTGATTAGATTCTCTGGAGCTGAGTAAGGACTTTAACCCCTCTTGTTTTGAGGACTTTACAATTTTATGTACAGTGGCTTTCAATGTAAATAATATAGCAAATGGATTTACGCATTGGCAGAGATCATCGCTTGATTGTGCCAACATATTTTGCTTTTTGGAGTTCAATATCTACAACACGTGATCATTATTTGACGTGAATTGTTTTTAACATCTTGTTAATTGTGCATCCTTTTTCTCTTTGAATCTATTGTAGTATTAAAAAACAAGTACTTTGAATGCATATCATTTCTCCGTAGCCATTTAAAACATTTCCTAGGTCATTACCCGTTTTTTTACGGACAAAAATGTATAGAACGTTGGAACGTTTATTGAATCATTTTCAAGGCCTTTTTTGTTTGGACACTCCATGTAAAATTTACGATAAAATGTTTTAGAACTTTCAGAATGAGGTAAAAATTCCATATTTTATGGAACAATAGTGAGCCAACACATACCTAAATTAACAGGACTTTTGGATGTCAAATGAGCTTTTCGATATCAAAAGAGCTCGAGTTTTTCTCAGTTACTCTTCGGTTGGAAAAAAACGTCGTATTCTAGGTTGCACCGCCTAGATGTACCATTGCTTTCAAAAACATTACTAATTTTTTTAGAAAATAAAAATCATGATTTGTGGTTTATTCTATAGATAGAAAAGATGATGCTTACTAGTTATTGCAAAATTCATTGATATACCTAAAGCGGTTTTGATTTTATGAACTTTTTGATACCCTCTCGTATATGTCAGGACAAGGAGCACCTCCTACTACCATCATGTTACAGTTACGCTGAGGATAAAATTCATTTGAAAGCATTCAAAAAGTATTCAATTACAAATCAAATTGAATATTCAAAATCCAGTTTCTTACAAAGAGAAAAGAAAGGAGTTACATAGAGGAAATCAGGGCTGCATCATCTCATTAACCATATTCCTGATAGCCTGCTTTGGTTTAAACCTGAGAGAACTCGGAGCATACACTTGAGTATGAATTTTAAAAGCTGTGATACAAAAAGCCTTATACAGTTATATCACTACAGTAAAAAGGATATTTGACGATGGAAAAGTTAAAGCTAGTTTTTGCATATAGTTTAGTCGATGAGAAAGAGGAGGATTTGGGAGGAATAGGCCATACTTTACCAAATCTCCAAAAACATCACGAATATAGGCTCCGGATTGGAATCCAGAAGGAAAAATGGTGAAGGGGAGGGGGCAATACCCACCTACAGAAGATCCGTGGACGTTAAGGCAAAAGAGGTCGGACTGACCTGTACTCATTTCAAAAACATAACGCAAAACAGAGTTCGATGGCGCAAGGTTGCTTTAAACCATTGATCCCCAAGGAGCACACGGGAATAAATAAATCAAGTAAGCCTATTTTGAGGGATTGTTTGTATAAAGTGTCGACATCATTTTCAGCATCTCTATAACCACTAGACCAATTGCATAAAACTTGCTAAAAAGCTTTATTAATTAAATATGATTCACGTTTGTTTAAATTAAGGCTCACTGCCTTTTTTCAAGGGGAAAACTAATAACTAGTGGACGTTTTTGGTTTTATCTTTAAAAATATTAACACTAACCAGTTGTCTAGAGAGTTAAATTTTTTTGTATAACGTCTTCAAATTCTTAAAATTTGTTCAAATCATGAACACAGTTAGGGGGATTGAAAAAAAAATGTTTAGATCAAAATTTTAAAAAGAAATAAATCAAAAAGATCATTATGTTTTCTTTTGCAGAAGAGTGGCCTTCATTCAGCAGAGTGATTTGGAAGCCTTCGAAGCTACTAAATGATATCCATGGAAAACACTTTAAATATTTTGAGAAAACATGAAAATGGGGTTAATATATTTTTTTAACTTTCTCCTATGAAGGGTGATTCCATTTTTTGCATATATAGCCGGCAATAAGGAACCAGCGACACTGTATATAATAAGTGTCGAATCTACTAAGTAGAGACAAGGTCAAAGATAAAGGATATGGAGATAACAGACAGTATTCAACAATATAACCTGTCCCTTCCCCAGGATAAAGAAAAAAAGTTAAGAGTAAGTTAGAGAAACCTATGGAAAAAAGAAAAAGAAACACGCAATACTACTGAAAGATGAAGGATATCGAGATAACAAATAGTATTCAACATCAAAGTTCATAAAACAAAATAGGAGCAGAGCAAACACGGACCTCCAAAACGTCAGAGCTGTAATCATATGCTATCGAGATTTATTAGCAAAACAAAATTTATATAAAGCGCTAAAAATTATCAACAAAACGAACAATTAAAATTGTCAAATTTTCAGAACAACCTGTCCCTTCCTCAGGATAAAGAAAAAATAAGAATAAGTTATAAAAACTAAGGGAAAAAAGAACAAAAAGAAACTAGCAATAATACTCAACTACAAAACACTAAATATTTACAGTGTTTAATTCAATTTTTTTAATCAGTTGTATGGCCAGAAATTCAGAGCGCTTGGAAATGCTTCCAGTATATCTTGTGTTCTCCGGTGAAGTACACCCGATATAAAATAAACAGACTATTGAGCAAAATAGCAAAATGTAATACGTTTAATTTACAGTTAATTATAAATGTAGTCTTTTTGACCCCCTCCCCAACTAAGAAAAAAGGGAAGAAAAGATGGTCAACACATTTTCTTTAAACTTTCTTAAACGATTCTTTTATATATTCTCCTAGATCTTTTGGCTTTATTCCTTTATCAAGCATTGTCATTTCGCGGCGCTACATTTCGACAAAACCAAGACAAATAGGGAAAATGAACGAAGTACTTAGGAAAATACTTATATATTAATAAAATGTATAAGAAGTTTTACCCTTAGAGTTACACTATCGCTGGTCATTGCTCCAGCTGTAGCCCTTGCAATGTATTGTCCTTCTTGTAACAAGGCTGTGAAACATGCATTCACAAAGGACGATTTTCCACTCCCAGTTTCACCAAGAAGTAAAATATTGAGTGTAGAATCATGATTTTTCAACTCCTCCGTTATGTTTTGCATAAGGTCGTCTTTTATCTACAGATATAAAAAAAACTTTCATAAGATTAGAATTTATGATATATACGCAAACTTTTAAAATGAGAAGCAATGTAATATGTTGCATTAAAAAAATAAGGGTAAATTGTACAGTATGAAAATAATGAGTGTGACACAGATGATTATTTAAACCCTTTCATGGAATTATTTTGTTATTAATTGATCATTTAACATTTTCTTACTTCATGTAAACTTATTGTTTTTTTGTGCCCACGGGGGAATCGAGGATTCGGAGAATATGGGTTTTGCCTGGTCCCTTCTACTAGGTGTCTGTTCGTCCGAAAAAAATTAAACCTTGCCCATAACTTCTGTCTGGGTGGGGCTATGGCTTTTATATTGCAAAGTTGTATTTCTTGTTTTGTGATACACATGTATGACCTTTCTTTGGGTACCACAAACTTTAACTTCTTGACCTTGAAGTTTGACCCACTTTTACAAATATATATATATCCAACCTTAAGCTTAGTCATAACTTTTAAACAGTTAGTGGAAGGATTGATTGATTGTACATGTATATTGCTTTACGACTCTCTTAAGAATATTTCACTCATTGTGACGCAAATTTTGCATCATACTCAGCAATCAGGGTTATTGAGCAGGAAGAGATCTTTTTCCTGTCAGCACCTACTTTGACACGGGACCTCGGTTTACACGGTCTCATCCGAAGGACCGATCTCGACGTCTCAGAGTGGGATTCGAACCTGATCCGTAAGGATCAACTCCTTACGCTGTAACCACTACCTTTGCCACGTGGGCGTTAGTACTAAGACTTTTATACGTCATATTGGTATTTATTGTGATAAGACTTTTCAGTGGATTAAGATATTCTGGAGCTTCTGGTCTTCATCTTTGAGTTTGATCCAGCTTGAAGCAAAAATGAGTTTAAAGCTTATGTGAGCATTTCTGATCATCAGGTGTAAGCTGTCCGTCCGTCTGCGCCCGTCCGTCTGTATTTTTTTTCCATATTTACCTTCTTCTCAAGAACCAAAGCACCAATTGTGAACAAACTTGTTACAAAGCATGCTTGAGTAAAGGGAACTTCAAATTGTCAAAACGAAGAGTGAAGTCCCCTTTCAAAGGGAGATAATAAAAAAAACCAAAATTAATGTTGTGTCTTTATAAAATCTCTTTAAGAACCACTAGGCTTGAAAAACTGAAATTTTTGTGGGGGTAGTGTATTGTTCTTTTTATAACAATGGTTTTTTTTTCTGAAAATCAGAGAAAATATTAGTTGGCTGATATTTTTGTTTAAAATAATAATTTTTATAACAGTTTGGTTGTTCATACGATTTTTACATCCATTCAAATAACTGCTAATATCTTGAATAGAAATTGACTAATTATACATACCGTTTATGTATTACTATCTTATATTACATTTTGTTGTATTTAAGTGGATGCGTATCGCAGGAGAATAATGATCAACCAGTCGATAGTTTTATTCTAACTAAATTCCAGTACGAGTTAATGGGACTTTTACAGATTCCTTGTTACCTGATGCCATTGTGCACCTTCTTTTTGTACTTATTGATCCGTAGCATATCTAGTGTTTCCCTTAGCGAAACATTGACCTACCATTCATTCTATATTATTAAGGGGTACCCATCTCTCACTTAATCGGGGTTTTCCAGAGCAAAGCATGGATGTTGCAATTTTAATCACATGGGCGGCGGCGGTTATCATTTAGTGATCTCAGTGCTAATTGTATCTATAATAGTTTATTTGAGAATTAATTTCCTATTATTTTGTCCCATCTTGATATTTAGATAAATGTGTTTATTATTGGGAAATAGTTACCTCCGGAATTTCTGTTAATGTTTTGTGTAATGAACGCCATGGCACAGGTAGCAAATCTATAAATTAAGAGTTAGATTTAGTATTGCTAAATTCAAATAATTAAAACGTATAATGGCTAGTTTTTCAAATTAAATGAATAACATTTATGTACATACTGTCATTTTCATTATCCTTGACAGATTCAGCGGCAATCGCCCTTTGTTTAGACATATAATATCCTGTAAAACAAGGACAATCATTTCATTTAACTGTACATGTATCTTCATGTAAAAAAAGCCCTATATCTTCATCACACATTATCCAATTTCACCAAAGCATATGATTTTCAATTATAAAATTTTGATATTAATTTATTATATAAAATTACTTTGTTTAAATGTATCTCAAAGGTTCACTGATGTAAAGATGAAATTAAAAAAATGCTCAGTTACCTTGAAAATGTATGCTAATAAAGAAGTAATAATACTTTTTTCGTTTCTACATTGTATATAAGTTTTCAAAAAGATATATTTATATTTTCCCTTACTTCTTATGACATAGATGGCTACAATGACTGACATAGGAATAGCCACCACAATTACTTTCACGATGACTGAAAAAAAAATGCAACTTTGAAATAACAAAAATAAGAAAGAAAAAAACGATAGTAATTGTTAACAACTTAAGTTATACGGCGAATTTTGTATCATACATTCATGAAGAATATGTTATCGTTTCAGCTGCTATATAATAATTGTTTTCATATTTGAAGATTATTCAAACATCAGAACGACATCAGCACGTACATTGTTAACACGAGGTCACAATCATCGTTGGGTTAAAATTTAAATATTTTGAAGAGTAATTAGAGTGTACTTGAAGAAGGAAAATAAAAACTGATTATGACAAATGGACTTGTGAGTAAAAAAGGGTTACTTTTGATGCCCTTGATATATTTTTTTTAGAAAAATTAACTAAAGAAATTCTGCTTGATACAGGCATATGAATATTGGGAAAAAGGGGAATGGTAAAACTGAATCACCCCTCTCTCTCTATTCTCTCATATCCCATTTAACAGTTAGTACAAATATTATTGTCACAGTATCCATTATTAGCAATCGTATTAGGAACTGATGATTTGTATAGGAATATATTTTTTAAACCCATACCATTGCTTTCCTTAAATTGTTGCCAAAGACTCTTACGTGGAATGACCTCTTCAAATTCTGAAAAAAACAAAACATATGTATACGCGGTAAAGTGTGAAAAAAAACATTCAAGGGGGTGACTGGGGTTTTTCTTGCGCAATCTCCCAATAGAATAAAGTAGTCATGTGTAACTTGAATAAGTTTCTGAAATGCTTTTGGAACTTAAAGATTTATAAAATATCTTAGAGTTTATGATTTTTAATTAAAGTTCAAAATCTTATAGTAAATGTATATCCAACTATATTTTGAAATGGTCCCGAAATATTGGGCCGATAAGATATGCTTAAAATTTGCAAGCTTATACATAAAATTTTGTAAGATACTTAGATATTAAAAGCCATTCTCTGTAATGATTTGAAATTTTATATAGGAGCTGTGGCACGCATAGTCTCAGAATTTCTCCAAACTCTCTATGATAAAATTCATTGATACCCTAAACTGAAATCATGCAAAAATTGGTTGCTATGTTTTATAGTTACCATGGCAACATGTCTTAAAGGTCGAAAAATGGCATTTTTTAACATGTTTAGAGCCCCATAGTTAACATTTGCGACAAAGCAAACAATTGGCAATGACTGTTACCAAAAGTTGAAGGTCAGATGTCTCAGATGCATGATAAACATGTTTGGTAAATCAAATATTACATACGTTACTATGGTAACAAAGTATTCAAAAGTAAAAAAAAATATTCATTGAATTTTATAAAGTCATACACGTAAAAATAAAAAGCAATTATAGGATGAAATGCGACCAAATAATAGAAAAAAGAGCGTTGAAACATATACCAAGAACAAAATAGGAGATTTTACTTTGGGTGGCAATGGTTGCCAAGGTTTTTATACCACAGAGAGCCTTCAAAGTAACACTCTGTATGTTTAAATCTGATCCTATCTTTTAAAAAAAGCACATTTCCTCGTAACTAATGATCAATTTTATAAGATGTTGGTGTGCTCCAAGTTTTCCCATTTGAAAAAAATTCAGATTAGATTCTTTAAATAGAGCGTTGCTATGGAAATAAGCAGAAAATATATGCTTAAAAACCTGGAAAATATTTTCTTTCCTTGGATACGTACCCTTAAATGTAGATTCCCAAAACTTTTATGATTAATATTTATTGACAGATAACTTGACTTGTAATTTTGACTATCATCCAATCTCTAAGTGGATGCAAGAAGTTGGCACACAGGGTTTAATATTGATATAAAGTTCACAAAATCGAACATTTTCCTTTCTTGGTAACCATAGCAACAGTGTTGTTTTATTCATCAAATTTTATCAATATATGATATTCAACTTCATTTCTAACAGAAAAGTACTATTCAAGCTGAGTCCATTAATTTGTTTCTTGATTAAATGGCAATTTAATTCTTAATGCAGTGAAAAATAATTCACTTTTAAGCACTGGTACGTTGTTTCCATGGTAACACTGCAAAGTAGCAATTATACCCAATTTTTCTTATGGTTTTGGTGTTGCAAGGTCCTAAGGGTGCATATTTGCCAATCTTGAATTTTCATGTTTTTCCTCAAGACAGTAGCATTAACCCAATCTTAGTTACTGGTTTTGCATGGTTACACTGTGTTACCATGGCAACCATAAAAGTTATTTATAGAATAATATTGCTTATACTTATATACTTAAGGTCAAACATTTTCATTGTTTTTCTTAAGTCATTGATTGAGTTTGAGCATGTAACACCTACCATTAGTGAATACGGAGTGTTTTTCAGCATATTATAGCATTTTAAATGTATTCCAAATGTACCCTTGGTTACCACTTACTTAGAGATATATTCTAAACAGTTTCTTTACAGTATAAGTAACATCAAGGTGTCAAGTTTTTGTGAGAATGGTTTGTTTGCTTTTTCTAGTTATTATTAAGCCACAGTCAAGATTTAAAGTGGCTGAAAATCTCGATTTTTCAAACTTTTCCGGCTGTTGCCATAGCAACCGAGACCCATAGCAACGAAATTTTGTTTGATATTTGTTTCTGATGTCACGTACTAAGCATGGGTGAAGTTTCATCAAAATCGGTGACCATGCGTGGCAACGAAGTTTAAGTGGTTACAGAGAATGGCTATTAAATAGTTTAATATAATATGATCAACAGGAAAAGGTTCACTTCTGTGTACATATTCTCTCTTCAATATATTTGAGAAGTGGTGTAAGTCAGTTGTGGATACTGCAAAAAATTTGTAGATTTGAACCGGCAAGGTAAGTATCAGTTTCTCACTCGTTTTGCAAGTTCTAACTTATATGTAATGACCTTGTCAGCAACATTTAAAGTCGAATACTGACTGACATTTATAATTTAAGCTCTGAAAAGCCTCTGAATTTCCGTAAACCCGATAATAACAATGAGCACACAGTCGACATGGGGATCATTTACCCAAAGGGTACCTAATACGAATGGACTTTTTAAGTTGGACTACTGTTTTTATTTTGTAAATATATATATGTTTCATGATATAAAAGTTACAAGTTTCCCTAAAGAAGTTTTTACACACACGAAAAAAAAATCGAGCCAGCTCCTTTAAAAGATGGTTAGCAAGAAATGCTTTTAACCTAATGCTATATATTGCACATATTACACAACATTTGTATATATCATACCACGGGCATTGATTTGCTCTTTCAACGCCTGTATATTCGCCTTTAAACCTGAAATATAATGCATTATACTTTAAAAATTGTTATAATATGCAGATACGTTACATACAATTGATGTAATTTCTCAGTTCTAATGCTTTTTGTAGGTTTTAATAAAAAAAATTATACAGATACAATGTCATGTTAAAGGAATGTATTCAAGTATTATTTATCAGAATACTAGCATTGAGAAGGGAGAATTTAAATGAAAAAATCTTTAGAGATTATTCATTTACAGGCGTTAAATTATATGTTTTTCCATTAATGTTATTGTATATTTTTCAGAACACAAGACCTACATAATGAACGTAATAAAAATCAATTCAACAGCCCGTGGGCAATTTCAATTCATGCGTCTAACCTTCAATTTTCTTTTCCTCTTCCGAAAAATTCTTTTGCAGATCTATAACGAAATACATGTATACATATGTGTTGCCTTACAATACATTTTACAATCAATTATATTAAGGCTATTAAATGAGGAACTGTGCTTATGAGAGGCTAATATGAGTTCTGAAAATGGTATATTCATACGTCTTCATAAAAGATTAATGGAGAAAAAAGTCATCAAAGAATTTTCGTAAAAAATTCAACTAGAATTATCTATTTGAAAAATTAAAATTTGGAAGATATGATAATCAGATTATTTTTTTTCAAAAGATTCTGCATGAAAAGTAATAAAAATCCAAGTTGAGGTATTAAACTTAACAATTATAAATAACAACGGCGTTTGAACAAAATGATTATTAATTATCATCGAATCCCTTCCTTTATTCGAAATATCTCTTTGGGTTGGAAAAGAAATATGAAATATGTTTAAAATTTAGATATTAAAAGAAGACGTCTATAACATATTTCATCTTGTTTTGAATTGTTTTATTAACTTTGATATTGAATACTGATCGTTATCTCCATGTCTTCATACAAAAGTTTGCGGCAATGATTGATAAACTAGGGTTGCTAGAAAAGTTCGTTGACTATTGTCATTTTATTTTTCATTACTTTTCATTTAGCCTCATATCGTATCAAGATTTGGTAGAAATGACTTTTTGCTAATAAATCCAAAATGATTTGATAAAAAACTTTAAAGATATCATGATTCATTACAACGTATTCTGAGGTTTAAAAAAATCAATTTGAGGTGCAATCAAAATTTAGCAATTTGCTGTTCATACCCTAAAATAATGTCTGCAGTCAAATCGCCTCAAAGGCACAAACAAAAATAGACACAGATTATCAAATGATATATATATTCATATTCCAAATTATGAATGAATAATTTGGTATGTAGAAAAAAATTACAAGAAGCAACTTTTCTATGAAATAGAGAGGAAAACATGAACGTTGCAGACGTTGCAGAGAAGCAGTAGAAGTTTGTTTGAGGACACAGGGATTTAGTGAAAAAACCTGTCATACATTTGTGTGTCAAAAGCGCATTGGTCATTTGAATGATATAGACTCTGTATAAGAAGAGGACTACCCGTGAGGAAAATCTGTAAAATTCTTACCAAATCTTTTAGTTGGAAATGGTCATTGAAAGAGGAAGAGTCGCTTTACAGTTGCTGACATTGTGAAAGAACTACCGTATAGCCGTTTGTGCTCTGAATTTGTAATCTACACTGCACACCTTGCGTTTGTAAACTTCCCCATTTTGAATGATGGTTACGGCAAATCACCGGTGGAGCGATCACCGGTAAATAAGTCAACAAGCAGCAATAAAATAAGAAATAATTATCCATACAATTCACACAATTTTGAATTAACATAATATTTAGTTCCTTAAGTTTATCTTTTTAAATTTGGATTTCATCACTGCGAAAACTTTTACTCCAATCGACCCAAAAGTTATAAAGGTGTCATGCTTGCTTAAACAATGGTTTCAAATCATGTGTCATCTAAAACGGTACACTCATGACCAATATTCAACAAATAATGTTTTATGCTACATTTATTATTGAACTGGTATCAATTGATACATTTGTGTGAAAGTTATTGCGCTTGGGATGGTTTGTTTACGTAATACAGAGCGCTTGGAATGCATTGTAAGCAAAATGTCACAACATGCTTGGGGTGAACAGGAAAAGAAATGGTTACATACTTAAACTATGAACTTATATGATCAAATAATAATTAAAATACAACATAAAACAAGATGTGTTTGTGAAACACTATGCGCCAGGGGGCAACAAAGTTCAAAAATCAATTTTTAGCATATAGGTCACAGTCAAGGTCACAGGTCATTGACCTTGATGTTATTTGTAAGAACTTGATTAGTGGAGTATGAATACCAAATATGAAGTCTATATTTCTTATGGTTCAAAAGAGATGACGAAGGTACGAAAAAGCTATTTTTAGCATACACATCACAGTCAAGGTCACAATGTCATTGTCCTTGGATTAATTTGAAAGAACATAATTAATGGAGTTTACAAAATCTGCAGTTTCTATCTCTTATGGTTTCAAAGTGATGGTGAATGTACGAAAAAGCTTTTTTTAGCATCAAAATAGGTCTTAGTTAAGGTCAAAAAGTCATTGACCTTAGTGTCATTTGAAAGAGCTTAATAAGTGAAGTGTGCATACCAAATACATGTATGAAGTGTCTTTTTTTCGTGGTTCAAAAGTTACGGCGAAGTTTAAAGTTTGCAGACAAAAAGCTATTTTTAGCGTAAAGGTCACAGTCAAGGTCACAATGTCATTGAACTCGGTGTCATTTGAAAGAGCTTAATGTTAACACAAGGGCGGATATTATTAATATTAGCGGTTTTTTTAAGTATTTATTCTGCACATTGGAGATAATCTCTATCGAAGCACCAAATTGAATAAATTGGATAATATGATGATTAAATTGTGTGTAAGGAATATCATAGACAGTTCATTACATATGAACGATGGCTGCACTTTTGCAATTGTCTGAGCTGTAGACTTATTGGAGTATGCATTCCAAATATGAGTTTTTATCTTCCATGGTTCAAAACTAATGGCCAAGGTTAAAGTTTGCAGACAAACAGATAAACAGACAGACAGGACTAAATGCAAAATACGTCTCAGACCTATCGATCCTGGTGCATAGTAAGGTAAACGTAGATTATATATAAACTGATTGAGCAACGAAAAAAATAATGTTCGTGTCTTACTTTATAAATTGATACAAATATTTTACTTCTTTAAAAATGTTCTTTACATTACTTTTGCAGTTAAAATAAGAGATACATCTGAAGTTGGATAATTGGGGTGTGATTTATCAATAGTATCTGGGTATTTCCAAGGATTTCCCGACAGCTTTGGCCAGTTTGGGAGGGTGTGCAATCGTAACAAGAGCGCATTCTTAACCTGCGACTTTATGGTAATATATTTCAATTCACCAAAATATTATCCATCAAAATTAATGGTATACCTAAACAACCTAAAATCGCCAAAGAATGGGTGGACTTAACTGGCCAGAAAAAATGCCGTAAATTTAAGTTTCATAAAATGTTATATTTTTTCCATCATATAAACCCCCGATATCTTAACCGTGTATTCATGGTACGGATGTGAATTTAAAACGCTCTTTTATAGGTAAACTAAATAAATATCGAAAGCATGGTGCCTGGAGATTTCTTGAATATCAATAGATAATCAGGGTCACGCTTTTTTCATCGTCTGAATACATAGTCAGCACATGTTTGTCGGCTGTTCTTAAGTAAACTGTAGTTGTATATTGAACAAAATAATGTTATATTTAAAAGAGAAGAGCCGACAAAAGTGTGCTCATACTTAATTTAACAAAAACATATTCAAAACAAACTTCTTGCTTCCATTGAAATGTCTTCGTTTGACCTGTTAAATATTACAATTCGTCACGTGATGTCCACCTGCGAGTGTACTCGAGAAAACACTTACATTGTGTTCTCTACCTGACCTCGATCTAAATCGTGTCTTTGAGCGTGTTTTGTTGCCGTTTTCAGAAATTAACAAATCAAATATTGTTTTAATTTGTCATCACATTTTTAAAATAATTTCATATTGACATCGCTGTAAAATGCTAAACACGTATTCGAATTTTTGGAAAAAGAGAGCGATAGAGAGAGAAAGAAGTCAACAATGACACAGATCGATAGCCCCGCCTCCTATAAATATTGATTGTGTGACATAAAAACCACTCCGGGTACATGTCGAATTCCGGAAGACGACACTCGTGTATCGTTGCTTCAATTTTGATGCATGACAACAGGGCATTGATTTTGCACTAATGTTCCACCTTATATAACCAAGTATATGTTGCTCTTTCAATTGCACATAATTTATTTTGGATCACTTCATTTACAGATTGTAAGAGAAGTCGCAAAAGGATCCAAAATAGGGCGCTAAGTCCATCCATTCTTTGTGCTAGCCAAAAAAAAAAAATAAGAAAAGAAAAACAAGCTATACGGTATTAGACAGAATAAAAAAATAACACTTAAAAAATAAAATATCTTTTTTAGAGTGTCATTGGGATATCACATGAAGTCGGTCACGTGATCAAATTCTATAACGCCCGAAGGGCGTTCTAGTAGATTTGATCATGTACCGACTTCATGTCATATCCCATTGACACTCTAAAAATGGTATCTTATTCCTTATATTTATATTTTTATTTCTATTCACATTACAAATTAAAGATAAAATGCCCTATTTAGAATTTGTTATTGAATGCAACGGATAAATACGACGTCATATGACGTCACAGTCAAGACTTTCCAAATATCTCGTGCAGTTTGGTTTCCATATGCAGGAAAGTCTGATCATGTGACCGATTGCATGTCATCGAAAATTGAATTTCATTTTTTCAGTATTGTCATAGAAAAGAAAGGACACTGGCAAATGAAAATTTAAAATATTGACAAACAGATCTATACTTCTTGAACAAGCGTAAGCAAGCAAAGTAAATGTTCATTTATTAAAAATGTTTTTTTCCAGTAAGGAAAAAAAAGAAACGCAGGGTAAACTTTTGAGGTGAATTAAATTAAACTTCATTTTCATATTTTTGTCATTATTCCTATCTTACTTTTAAAAGCATCGTTTAAGAAAATGTAACCAAAACCCCATATGATTGTGTCTTATATTTGACGAGTTAATGAAACTTATATGACGATACCCCCCCCCCCAAAAAAAAAAAGTGAGAATCGAAAACTTTCATTATCGTCAGGGTCTCTGCATATCTACGCATCTGTCGCAGCCTTGATTCTCATTTGCATCGAATTCATCATAGGGTTTATCTTTCAAACTCCGGTTGTAGTATCCGTGGGTAACCATGCAAAAAATAAGTCAAACCAAGCGCACATGAATCAGAAAGAGGAACAGAAAATAAAGAAGAAGGTGTGGTTTTAGCTTTATCGTGCACTAAAATGAACTGTCATCAAAAAGACATGAAACTGGCTAAAGTAATTGTTAATTATATGACTTCGATGAATCAGGGATATGACACAAATGATTACCATCATGCAAATATGACATCATTACATGTAATCTAATGCATTTCTGTACTTCCAACAGAAAAAGCTTCATATTAGTCCATTTAGAAGGTAAATTTTCTTTAGAAAATAGTAACAACAGTCGTCGCCTACTTCCCTTTTTTTAATATGTAAAAAAATGAGTCAATATCTCGCACTTTCTTTGGTCAATACACCGGGTGTCTTAATTCTCCTGGGCTTTCGTGTCACCTTGGGACAATTATTCTGGTATGTCACCCTTGAAACCATGTGATATATATATATAATATATACATTTTTTTGTTTAAGAAATTTTTCAAGGGAGGGGGCTTACCTTTAATAATGCCTCGTTCATTCTTCAAATCAGCCATCAAAGCTAAAATTAAATATAGAATTTGTCTTACAAAATGATACATTTTTTTCTACAATTAATTCTAAGACTCTTTAGTGAGGTACTGTTTTTACCAGAGCAATTATGCAACTCATTCATATTGAAAAAAAAAATTAACGATGTTTCATAAAACAATTTAAGCAGAATTATCAAATCAATATCGATAAGTATTGATTACTTGATTAATACATTTAAATATTCTACATGAGAAGAAAAAATATATTTCAGAGGTACTCAAATCAATGCCTAGCCATAGATAAATTGATAGATTATCATCAATAAAAATATCCACTTTCATTCCTGCATTGTTTTAATATACTCTTTGAGATAAAATAAATTTACCACATAATCTTACACATAGGTATCCTACTGTTTAGATATTTTCAAAAGAAAAAAGCAAACTGTTGCATTAAAAACGTGATGACAAAGTGAGGGCCTCACACTTTCCTGATATCTTCTTCCTTTTTTTTTAAATAGCATTATATACATGTACCATAACTTCTTGATAACAATCAAAATACGTATATGTATGTTTCCCACAAAGTTTATATGATAGCAGAACATGTCTTAATTATAAACAGTTTCTTCAAACTGAAAAAAAATACGCTGATGAAAACTGTTTACACCTAAACTCAATACCGCGACCCCTTCTCTGAAACCTCTAACATTTAGCATTTTAATTTGTAAGTAATTTCGTTTACATTCAATCTCTATTATGATATCTTTGTTGTTCACCACTTGCAAAAAAATCTATCAAAAATAGCACAGTGTAATGTATGGCAATAATTAAGGAATGATTCTAATTTTTTGGCCAAATTATTCGATGGTAACCTGGTTTGGGTCATTTAATCCGCGAAGCCAATGATCAAGAAATAGAGTCATTCCTTATAATTCAATTTTAAAATAATTAAACAACTGTGGGTGTAAAATTGTGTTGCTTTTTATGAGTTCAAATTTGTCGCTCAATAATACATTCCTAGTAACGGAAGTGATATGAAACAAGGGGAGATAATAACTGATATACAGATCTAGCAGCCATGATGGTTGTGTACACGAGGTAAGATCGAGCTACTGTTTGAAGTTAAAGGTACATTTATTAAATCTGGAATTTCCCATGAATTCCAAGGACTGGAAATGAGGGGATTGTATGGATACAGGTGATTCAGCTGGTCGTCAAGGGGTATGTCCCCTTTCCAAACCAGGTTATTAAGAAATAATTTGCGTTCCTTTTTGGTAATCAACAAATGAAAGGCGAGAATATAAACAAAATTAAATTATTAAACAGTATTCAAACTCAAAAGATAATTAATGAATGATGATGATGAAAATATTAACCATTTTAAAATGCGATAAACAAGATTTAACCAAAATGTCCAAAAATAATGTTGACTTCTTAAATAAAGTTACGTATTGACTGAAATCGATTGATACCGTATAGATAATGTGTATTTACCCGTCTTGCGTTGTCACGACGGAGCTTGACAATTTTGTATGCTCGTGTAAACGATGTTTCGGGGGTATATAGTTTTTGTTGAGTCCGTCTGTCTGTCTAGCTGTCTCTTTCTCTCTCTGTTTGTCTCTCTGTCTATCTGTCTGTCTCTCTGTCTGTCTATTTGTCCGCAAAAAATTGAACCTTGCCCATAACTTTTGATTTAATATATCTATGATTTTCATATTTTACATGTGTATTCCAGGTGTCAAGATCTTTTTTTTTGGTTACCATCAAATTTGACTTTTAGACCTTGACCTTGGAGTTTGGCGCTCTTTTATACAAAAAATCCAAACTTTTAATTTGGCCACATCTTTTAAAAAGTAGATACCAGGACTGCACATATATATTTTTTTGGCAAAACCTTTCATTGAGTACCGAACAAATTAGACCTTTTGACCTTGGAGACTTCCGATCTTATGAAAGAATTTTAACCTAGTCCATAACCTTAAAACGGTAAAGTTTAGGGCATTCTAATTTCAAGTAGTCCTTGGGAGAAGATCCTTCATTGGATATCAAGAATTTTGACCCTTTGACCTTGAATTTGAAGTTTGACCTCATTTCAAATGTAATCTTGAAGATAATTTTTGAAGGATTAGAACTGGGGCTTTCATACTTTACATATTTAATTCTCATGAAAAGATCTTTCATTTGATATCAAGAATATTGATCCTTCGACCTTGACCTTGGAATTTGACCCGTTTTTACACGAAAAGTCCAAACTTTTACTTTGGTCATAATTTTAAAAACAGTAAATACTAGGAAATTTAAATTAAGATTAACAATTCTTTCTAGCGAGACCTTTCATTTGAAATCCTTAGTTTTGACTTTTTAACCTTGATCTTGAAAATTTCCGAACTTACGAAAAAACTGTAACTTTGGCCAAAACTTTTGAACTGTAAGAGCTAAGGCTTTCATACTTCACATATTAGAGTATGTATTCTCTATACTATATAACACTATCGAGTTATTTATCTTACTTAAAAAAAATCTCTATTTTGGACCCCAAAGATACATTTACCCATTTAAATATCCAACTTGTTGTAATATACTGACACGCAAAAGAAACGCAACAACCTACTTTCGGGGGAAATAATTATGCAAAGTAAAGAATTTTGTATCTTAAAATTATGAATAACTTCAATTAGGTAAATATCAGTAATTTAACGGTTGAACGATTTCCATACCATAACCGGAAGTAAAGTTTGAGTCTGCTTAACAGAAATCAAAAATTGCATGTTTAACAAAATATTTCGCAATATTATGGAATTTTAAGGGTTTTTTTTCTGTTCATCATAAGTAATACAGCAATTTTTTCAAAAAATAATCTCTCCTTTCGTTTCCCGTAACGATGCTAAGGCTACTTGAAAATGGCTTATGTACGCATTTCCATTGCTCTAGCTGGAAAATTTCAATGTAAACGTGATGGAGAGTTGCTGATGCAAAACATCACTGCATTACACCTCAACAGGGTCTTACGTATCATATGCATTCAGGACAGTCCTTAAACCGGAAGTCCAAGGGTGGCTACATTGCTCTAAGAGAAAATTCGACCTAATCATCCTGAAAATCGGGCATTCAAAAATGCCAAAGAATAATTCTTTCGCTCAGATCTCGATATTAATGAACCTATTGCATCGTAGAAATTTAGCTGCAATTGTTGTTTAGGGCAGTCTAGCACGTTTTACTTGAATGGCTGGGAGGGGGGTGTTTTAATAGCCATATTTTACTTAGTAAAGTAAACAGTTAAACATTTAACAATTTTTGTCAAATCTCTGATGTTCTGAAAAGTGAGTTTAGCCTTACTTTATTTGCTTTTGAAAATCATAAGATAAAAAATCAAACATTTGTAGATTACTGCTTGTTGCGTTTCTTTTGCGTGTCAGTATACAATAGGATATAGCCCATTTAAATACGAGTATCTAAGTGTGACACAAAACTATAGCCTTATCGAACACCCTTTTTATTCATGCACTAATGAGCATGAAACAAATGGTGCTGATGTCATTTCAACCCTATTCATTGTACTGAACAGGCATGAAATCAGACGAAGAATATTTTTTTAAAAAAGAAAAGTAAATTAGAAAGGTCAAGATGGTATTTTGAATACTTTTGACCTGAAACCTGAAGAAAACTACAGGACGTGTATTTGAAACACCATAAATGTGATAAATGCAAAATAATTACGGTAATTCCGTGTGTGCTGGAAATTCATTCTAATAATCTGGCAAATTTGGTGTAATAATCATTTTTCATGTACAATGAAAATACATTTCAAAATTGTTTTATCTCTTTTGTTTATTGTTTTATACACATCAGTTGGATATTTGAATATCCTTCTGTTGGCCAGTTGGATCTTTAAATATCCAACTAGTGCTGGTTGAATCGGTGAAATATACGTAGACTAATAAATGTTTTTTAAAGACTTATTTATATAAACATTATGCAAATGAAATGAAACATCTGAGTGAGTTTAGGGACTTTATTTTCAATAAATTAATTTATATGAAGTTTTATTTAAGAAATATACAACAAGTTTGAAAATATCAATGGGGATTCAAGTCGGTCTGGTGATCAAATCCTGTGAAGGCCGAAAAACATTTAACATGGAAACTTCGTCGTATGACATCATATCCAGTGAATGTGTTAAGCCTTTGCTAGATATTTTATGACGTCATAATTAATATCATGTTACTTTTCCCGTACTCTACACCTTCAATAAGAATTGTAAAAAAAAAAGCATTTTGAAATTCATGGAAAACAATTTAAAATTATGCTTCTTAATATGCACCTATATTCAACTTGTATATTTTTTCTTCTAAAACCAAATGATTTATTAATACAATTCTTTAATAGGAAAAACTTGTAGGCGCCTTTCATTTACTTGACCTTGACTTTACATGAACAAATCTATAACTCTCTAATGTATTGACATTACACAACTTATTGTGATAATGTGAATAGTATGTGACTATTTTGAGGGAATGCAAAAATCCTACAAAATCTTCAATTGCCAACTAAATTGAATAATTTCTTGATGAAATGTATTTGAGTCAAAATTGTGTCGAAGATTGTGTGTAAATGTTGTGATGTCTATCATGAAATGATGTGCATTCCTTTCAATATTAATTATACGAGGGGTGATCAAAAAGTTTGCAAACTATCTCTATATCTACAAAACCATAATTCAGATTAGAATGAAATACGATACACACATAGCCATACACAAGGTTATAAATAGCATACGCTAAATAAAGCTTTTCTCTTTGTTTGTGACATCTCAATATGAAAATGACGTCACTATTTAGGTCACTTGTGACGAAGAATGTTGTCTCAGTCGAACTCGTTCAACAAACGACTGTTAAAATTATTGTATATCTTAGAGATACCTTTAAAGTAGCGTTTAATAATTTGTACACAGTTTATTGAGATAAATGAGTTCCTATAAATTCAATTAGTGATTGGATTGATCGTTTTAGTGAAGGAAGGCAGATTG